TGCCCACTGAATGTCAAGCTCCCCTTCCAAGAATAAAGATTAGTCACCCTCAGTCCCTAGATAGCCTTTTGCCATATGACAACCCCCTCTCCCATCCCATCTGTTTCTGATCATCCTATCAGCGCTATCACAGCGCTGCTTGCCGTTCCCACACTGCCCGAGACCGTTTCCCTCGTGGGAAAGTCAAACACAGAACGTGATAAGTACTCGAACCCGTCGAGACCACGACCATTTTCCGGGGCAAAGTGAAACCTTATGAAGAATTTCATTTATTACATCTATATCTACATAGCTCCACGAATGGAGTAAATATAACACCATATCAAACTACAATAAGATACTAAAAATATTAAATTAATTAGGTATTTGGAAAAAAATCAATAAGTGCATGGATAAACAATTCACAAATTTGTACACACAAAAAGACCGTAGGAAACCTCAAAAGTCAACAAGTACCGGAACATGGCGAGAGAGATAGTTGGACAGGAGAGACACAGAGAAACAGACAAACACAACTACTGCGAGAGAATGAACGATGATTGAAAACACGTCGTGACGATTGAGATCTAAACTGGGTAGGGGGGGGGAACGATTCACATGTGTGCGTTCGCGGACTTTGCACGTCCGCTACCGTATGACAGAACCAGATGAATGTGAGGAAAGGAACAACGGAACAAAAGAATGCGTGAACGCTTCATTGCCACGGCTGCCAGACTTTCTTCGATGGTGGTTCCCGGCACGAATCATCCTCTCTTGTCAAATGAGGTCTGCGCTCTCCACGGGTTTCTTTTGGTCGGGTTGCTCGACCTGGTGAGCCCGTTGGTTCCGGTGATTCACTGGACGAGATGTCCGAAGCTGGCGGTGTTCCTGGTGACCACTTTGGTGGATCGGCGGCTATCGGCTGGGTGGTGGCGCCTGATCGTGACGGCATGGCAGCGCTGAAAGACGAGTGTTAGCAGTGATGATCGAAATTTGGAGTAAAAAAAACCTGAGGACAAAAGCTAGAGACGCAGAGGACATTCAGAGACGCAGAACTATTCTCCGTCTCTGCCTCACCACTCTGCTTCTCTGGTGTTTTTGAAGACCAACTTACTTCAAATGATGGACCAATCCAAGATGAAATTGTTGTGCTTGTGGGTTGAAAGTCATGTGGCATGGCCATCTGAAGGTAATTGAACACAGCCTGGGAGGCATGGGCGAATCCACGGGCAAAACCCTCTTCCCGTCCACTTCGGTAGACCGCAGCTTGGTCTGGAAAAGCTATATGCTTCAGAATGGATCATCTCTATCGATCGATATAAGCTTATCAATCGATAATTGATTCCCTAGCCGAAACTTTCAGAACTTGGTCCCTCACCTCCAACTGCCGTCACATTCCCTCGTTGCTCTTCCAGGTATCGTACGGTCCATTCCAAAATATCAGCTTGATCTAGCTGGGGAGAACTGAAACAGCCGTAGAAAATTTTCGACAAAACCTCGCTTCACATATTGATCGATTTATTGATCGATAGATAATACCTTTGTTGTGGTGAAACGTTGAGAAGAAACTCTTTAAGATACAGCAACGAGTCATTAATTCTCTTTCGTCGAAGCTTCTCCATCATCGGCTTCTTCATCTGCAATAATGATTTTTCGGATGAAAAAATGAAAAATGAATTTTCGCTGCTTTTTCGGGAGCTTTCCAGACATTACACTCGTGGAGACTGTACAAACGCTTACCTTTCTATCGCCTGAAAAATCAGGCTGGCGGCGGTGAGTAGGTAAAGGATGTCGTGGGCGAGAGGTGCATGCTCTGAAATAAACAAAGTAGAGGCTAAAATAAGCACAGCCATTTATGCCAGGTAACCGACAACGGATAAATCAGCGAGTAAAAGGAAACGGCACTGAGTAGTATAAGTCGCAAATTACCAGAATATCAGGAGCAACCAGCAAGCAGTATTAGTCGCAATCGCAAGGTAAGGGACATCCCATAGACTAAGGGGGGGGGGCCTTGGGAAAGGCGAGAACTCCACGGCGAACAGAGAACGATAACTCTACCCACACGGGAATACTCCTTCTCCTAGGGTCACAACAAGTTTCAACAAAAAGGAGACGCTTCAAGCGGCTTTTAGATGCATGCTACGAATGCCCCCGCGTCCTGCGATAGCGCTAATCATTACTCTCAATTCTCGCTAATTCTTAGTGCATGGGGGTGTTATTTTTGTACCGATCTCTCCTGATTGGGTGGATAACTATACTGCCCAGAAGACCGCTACCAGTAGAAGTTACATACTTCCAAGAGAGCCTGAAAGATTAAGACGTCTCTCGTTACGGTGTCCCTCTACCTACTGCGCTGATCAGCCTACCCTGCACCACAAATCCGACCGGCCTTAGTCCAGCACTAGAATAACCCAAGGGCCAACAATGGACCAAAGAAACTTGCAGATTTAAGAGGAATACGAGAGCAAAGATGCTCTTTCCTTGGAGATTGTAATTCAAGTATTTGAGCCATTTAGGGTTACCATCTCGGTAGCTACTACCGCTATCCTGAGAGTCACCCACACTCACTGCCTTTGTCCTGAAGGGACTATTCCCAGGAGATTTGAGCGGATCCCTAAGGAGCGTTAAGTGACCTAATAGGAAGAACCTATTCATATGCCACAGGATTAGGTCAACTGGTCTCAACAGCAACACATGATAGGAGGCCCGGTGGGCCAACAAAGCCACCTGGAAATGTATGAGGAAAGCCAAGAACGACCCCTAGGCCTGCGCGAGGATTCAAAAGCAGCCATTTCGGGACCGCCAGCTCTGTTGCTGCCCCACCGCTATCCTTGTAGGGGCTCCCACCGACAGCCTATCCCTAAACTAATCTATTTCCGGAAGATCCGAATCTTCTAGAGACCTTCCCTCGATTTACAGTATGAATAATCGATCCAGATCGATGACCAGGTTAGCATGGAATCAAAAGGCTTAGGGTAAGGAAGTTCAGTGAGGTCAGAAAAATTCCCGTTCGGTCACCCGTTCTCCTACCGTAACCGCCAGCAGAGGCGGTGACGGTGGTGGTGGTGGGGAAGCGGCGGCGACGAGAACGCAACATTGAATGTAGTGAAGATTCGTATCTTAATGACACCATTAAGATACGATCGCAAAAATCGTAAGCGATTCGATTTTCTTGCGTATACGACGACGAGCAAATGATTACGGGTACGCCAGCGCGCGCTCGGAAAACATCAACTGATGACTTTGACAGCACCGACCGACCGACCGACCGACGACCGGCGGCCGGCCAGCCAGCCAGCCGACCGCTTGGTCGCCCGCCGCCCGATCCGCGCTGTCTCCCCGTCGCCATCTCACGTCGTCGTCGTCGTTCTCATGACCCGTCTTATCAGCACACGCGTCACCGCCGTCGGCTACTGTAGCCCCTTGCGCTGATAGGTCTGTGAATGCCGAGAAACAGACACGGTGTGAACAACACAACGACGACAAAACAATGAAAAGAATGCAAATATGAGCAGTCAACAGGACACGGTAGCGGAAACAGGCACGGGCGGTCAGAATGGCCCCGGGGTAGAGGTTAGGGGTGTGGTTTTGTTGAGTGGCTTTGAAAAGTTCCGACAGCAGCTCATCAATCATTACTCAAACACTGAACAGTTTACCCCATTATGAACCAGTTCGGGTGATTGCAACCCCATTCGGGAAGCTTTTAACCCATAGAAACCTAAACCTTCATTGTGGGGACCGGAAATGACTATGGAAATTTGAGTTTTTCAGTCCAAGTCGAAAAACCCTATGGGAAAGCTTAACCCAGAAATTCCTGGAGAAGGGCCTAGGTATGTCACGAAGCGTGCCAGATGACGAATCATGCAGGTCGAACGCTTTCCGGCGATTCATGAGAGAGGTACAGAGCGAGCGATCGAGGTGAGGACGGGGCCCCTCTCGCTCACGGCTGGTTGTAATGGCGGCTAGCTTCAAAGGGACACGCTCGCTATCAACACACGACCACGAGCCGGTGACAAATGGCGGTGGGAAAAGCGCGGCAACCGCCGTCGGCCGTGTGCAGGATAGGGCGACAACGAAATGGGCTGCAGGTTCAGAGGAAATGATGATGATGCCAAAAAAGTAGCAGAATCGGGACGAGAAACCCTGGGCACAAGCGCTGTCTTCTGAAAGGGCGCAATAGGCGCAGCAGCAGGAGGAATCTTAGTAGGGGCAAGGAAACCGAAGAAAACCTGAGCAGAGGAGGGAAATTACCCCTAGGAGGGTAGGTAAGGGCTGGAGAGGCATAAGGATAGAGTAGAGGAGATGAGGAAGAAAGTCTGGGTCAAAAAGTAATGAAAAATGGAGGAAGCAACATTGCACTGCCAATTAATTACGAAAGCGGTGAAGAATAGGCGGGTAGAAGGTATAAATAATGCAAAAAAAATCTTGAAAGTCGGGAAAGTACCAGTTAAGGGAAGGAAGATGAGCAGGAAGAGGAGGAAAGTATGAGGATGTAAAGGCAGAAATGGAAGAAATCGGTAGGAAAACTCGGTCGGAGTGAAGCTGCAAAGAGCTTGACGAGGATCAGCAGGGAAAAGGAATGGAGGAACGGTAGGAAAGAGAAGGAATCTCACAAAACTGTACCAGAGGAGCAGAAGAGCAGCCCAAGAAGAGAGAAAAAGAGGAAAGGATGAACGGAATGGTTGGAGGAAAAGGGAACCTGGTAAAGGTAAGAGCAACGACTCTTGACTAGGTGAGTGTTAGTCAAGCCCTCCACAGCCCTTGTTTGGAATTGAAAAAAAAACAGCTGATTCAGGAAAGGTTAAAAACTTATTCCAGAAGGGGTAAAGGCAAACATTCAGCCTTCTAGTAGAAAGGGTTTCCCTTGATTAGCCCATGAGTGTGGCCCCTAAAAGGGTACAAATCTGTGGCGAAATCCGTAATCGTGTCCAGAATTCTGGAGGGCTGCTTCGAAAACTCTGAGCTGATCAAATCAATCGATATTTCATATCAGCATTTCGTTTAAAAGTTTTAAGGTAGCGCCTATATGGACAAAAAATGTCATGTATTATCGAAAAGCAACGGCAAAAGATCAGTTGGTAGAATACTTGAGTATTAAATATCAAAGAACTTGCATCACAATGAACTGAACAGCTCCCCTAACTGATTACTGATAAGCTCATAAGAAGAAGGCTAACTATCAAGAGATATCATCTGCCGCCTGTGAAGTGGTAAGCGCTCAGAACAACTAAACGAGGTCGTTCATGGCGCTTTTCGAGAGTCATGAGAATGAAATATAGCCGACTGTCGGACGACATCGGATATCATGGACGATGGTCATCATGGCAGCTCTCGGTGGGCGTGGTGGGGTGATGTGGTGGGCGTGGCCGTGTCCGGCTGGTTACCTCCGGACACGCGACCGACGAGTGATTGTGCCCGTTTATTGAGAGACATCAGAGAATGTTCCGAGGTCAGACGACAAGAGCGCGAGACCAGTTCCGCAAAGCGTAGATCATTGGGGCCATCGGTACCCTCCGGGGAAATCCTTCCGGGAACCGGCGCTTCGGTAGAGAGCCGGTATGACCAACAGCAGCCACCAATGGCTATCACTAACTGTTCTTTGTAATGTGACGCAATTTGGGCGTCAATAAAACCAGGTCCCGGGTGATAAGCCGCGGTTCAGATGGGGACAAAGTCCGTACGACAGCGATCATGTGGGCAGGTGTACGGGACGAAGGAGTGTAGCAGGTAGGACGATCGACGGTGAGGCGCGATGAGCTAATAAAAGCCACTATCAGTGCCACGTTTATGACAACTTCTGGCGCGTGCTAATGACATTACGACATGGTGATAGCCGGGACGATGGGTCCGCATTCTGGGCGCCCAGAATCACGGGCTGGAAGCTTTTTCGGAGGGCGCCCATTAACGTGGAGGGAAAAGCTAGGCTACCTCATTCCTAAGGTCCTACGCCCCAAGACCCTGGTCACACTAGAGATTGATATAGGAGCAGGTGGAGGTTCTTTGGAGCTCCAGGGAGCCTCCAAGCCCCTCTGCTTCGGTAGCTTCCAATAAACTGAATTTGGTTCACGATAGGGAGAGAAAATTGGGTGAGCCATGTACTCGACTTCGATCGGAATTTTAGAAAGGATTATTCTGCCTACAGCTGAAGGACATACTGTGGTGTAGGCCTAAACTTTAACTGCACTTTGAGACCAGCTTAACAGACGCTGAGACGACGAGTAGGCAATTAATTGACCCCAGTAAGTCCATAGGAGTCGAACCAGTGACAGTTTATACGTGAAATGTTTCCTAGCCGCTGAGCTATACAGGCGCTGTTCCACTGAAGCCTAGAAGGTGACGTACAAACTTCGACTGAGGCCGATTGGCATGAGTTGCATGGATTGTTCTGCGTTCCTAAAGTTGACAAAGAATTTCCTACCCCTTCTCTAACCTCTCTCTTACTTCTGCCCCTCTAAAGCTTTCTCAGCTTGACTTCGACAGCAGGAGTTCTTCGATGGAATTTGCTAGAATATTTTCCTAGGCTTACTTGAATTAGTTCTTCAACACCCTGTCGGCCGAAAGAAGAGTGCAGGTATTCGAGAAGAAACTGGGCCAAATTAGGGATGGGGTCATAGAGAGGACTAGTGCTCTAACGCCCCCCCCCAATAGGTATTTTCTCTTCTACGAGGAACTTAGTATCGGAGCTGCATCGCTGAGGCGTGTGTTCTTAGTAGAGAGGACTGAAAGCAGTCCTCCTCATCTTCACGTGGAGGGGGTTTAGCTCCTTATGGATTGCGCAGAATGTTCTCTGGCAATGACGCTACTTCAAAGATTTAGGCCGTCACTGACGCAAAGCAACAAATTTACCCAAATTATCACAAAACGCAACAAAAACATAAGGAGTGTGCACACTAGCTAAGCGTCTAATCAGCTGTGATCAGCTTTGGCCGATAAACGACGCTTTCCAGCACGTGCAACTATGGGTGTCCTAAGCACATTGTTGACGACGCCAGGAAGGCTTTATGATCACAAATTATCACTTTACATAAAATCCTAAGCAGAAGGCACATCTATGGGCTACGCAGGTGCCCAGACGTCAGTTGCTCACGGCAAATCGCCGAAATCCCAAGTACTGATTTTATGGCCGGCAAGGCTCTTAGGCAAAGTTCTTGGGGGAATTTCGCGCCTACGCGCGATTGATAACGGCCGATGGGTCAGCGCCGTGGGGCCCTTTGAGGTCAGACGGAGTTGATATCAACAACCCCTCGACAGAATTCTACGTGCTGGGATTACCCAATCTCCACGATTCACATAGCACCATTTGGCTTCATTCCAACACTCACTATTTATTTGGGCCGTGAAGAAACAGGGTTTATCAACTCATCTAGGATAGAAAGGGGCTCACAGCAGCTAGCCCGGCCAAGGATTTCAATGGATATGAGCGCTTAGACGGGAGTTTCTGGGGGACAAAAAAAAAAAAATTCCCGGGCAAAACCTAAATGGCTTCATATGGTGTTTTTATCGTGACTTTTAATATGGCCCTAGTTCACCTTACGTACGATTCCTTAGAGTTTTTAAGAAGTGTAACTTTCTCAAAAAGTGTTTACCCTACTAGCGATCATTGCCGCTATAGAGGCGGAAATTAAGACTTCTATTCTGGCGAGAGCAATTCAGAA